CAAACAAAAAAACATACATTTTTTGTACCTCCTCCTTTGAACATGTGTTGAAGCTAAATGGTTGCTCCGTTATGGTCCATATTGTTTTCTGCTGAAAATGAATTTATTAGTGATTTTTATAAATGACTGTGAATGCTTACATTCATTATCTTGTGCCATCTTCATATCTATTTTTCTTTCTTTGCAAATTTTACAAAATTTAAAACAATAAGACATTTGTTTAATTTCAAAACTATGAATACTGTATATACATGTATAAACAATCCATAACTTTATTAAATTGATTTTTTGTTGATTTTCATGAAGAGGTGGAGGATTTGGAATATCTTTTTCATCAATATTTAAAAGTTGAATTATTTTTACTTTCTAAATTAGCTGGATGTTCATATTGTATTTCCAGTTTCCTGCATCTCATATGTATGTGATCAGCAAGAGGATCATACTGATTGTTTAAAATGAGTTTGGATTTACAGTGAGCCTGTTTAGTATATTGTTTTGATCATGTTTTTCATTTTCATCTAAGCCTAAGGAACCATAAGTAGGATTGTAAGTTGATAATCTGAAGATTTTGCTATTTTCTGGGATGCTCTTTAAAATTTGAGGGGAGAAACTGCTCAGCAGTATAAATGTATTCCTGATCATCTTCTGTTTGTGGGTTTTTACATCCATTTCATGTGCTAGTTCAGAGTCAGTTTTATGTCATTTCTTGCATTTTGTTTTTTTAGAAGATTTTTTTGTGGTCCATTTACTTTTCATGCTTTTTAAGTTTATATACAATGGCAAAATAAAATTGAGAATGGAAATGGGGAATATGTTAAAAATGTGCTTTCATATAATGCTATCATGTCGTCATTGTTGTCCAAGACACATTTGGTTTCCGGACAATAACTTTAGATTAAGTGAATGGATCTCTATGAAATTGTACCAGATACCAGAAGGTTCAATACTCAAAAGGAAGGTTAGAATTGATTTTGGGGGTTATATATGGTACCAACAGTTTAGGAGTCAGTGGCCAAAAACAAGCATTTTTGTAGTTTCTAGACAATAACTTGTTTGTAAGTGTATGGATCTTTCTGAAATTGTACCACAAGGTTTATCAGAAAGGTAAGGCTGAGATTGAGTTTGGGGGTAATTGCCCAAAACGTTTTTTGAAATTTTTGTTATGAGGAGGGGAATTTTTGTTCATTTTTTTTTTTTTTGGAGGGGTTCATCATGTTCATTCTGTTTTTCTTCAAGATTTTTCAAAATTTCAAATTTTTTCAAACATTTTTTTGGCTTTTTTTTTTCATAATTTTTGGTGTTTTTCTCAAAAATTTCAAATTTTTACATTGATTATTTCTCATTTATATATATAAATGCAACAAATACTGATATGGCAGGAGATACACAACAAACAGGGTGTGTAATTTATTGCATCGGTAATTTGTTCATTTTTCCTTTGATGTGTACTCCCTGATAATGTAAGTATCAGTGGACTGGTCATGATAAACAAAAATTATTGGGTCAGTTCGCAATTGACATGCGCGAGTGCACCGCAAAAGGATCTACTGCAGAAACACAAGTTATTTGGTGAATTAAACACTTGTCATTGTTTGAAACTTTCAGTAATTGAAATTTAGTTGAGCCTTTTTGAACGATTCACTGATTGTGTGAAAATTTGAACAGAAAATGTACGAACAACGTGATAAAATTGCATTATCTGCAGAATTATTGATAGCTTTCCTTACTTTTCACAAGGACATATAACTAACATATCGTCCATGCTTTTCCGATCTGAGTTTTTATTCATACATAGTCTGGCATGGCTGGTGCTGTTCCAAGATGTCTTCTTTTTCTGTTTCTTGAGAAGTATTTGTTTAACCTGTTCAGTCACTATAAAGTGTTACAATTCATATTTAGACGCAACACATAAATAGTGACCAAAAAGGTACTGCTTTCTCATGAGAGAAGCTAGAAAAAAAAATGTACACATTTTCAACATTTTTGTAAGACTATCATATAAAATTAAGGAAATATGTAGTTGGAGACTGCTGCTAAATAGAAATGTTCAAGCTATCCCGACACCTGTTTTCAAATTAGTCCATATCATTATTTAAGTTTGAAGGGTCCAAAATTAAAATATGTTTGATTTCAACAGACATTAAATATTTGGTGTTTTTTATATGCTAAATCTACATCTGCGGCCGTATCAGGCTGCGCTCGGCGAAGCATTTTATTGCTTTTTGGTTGGTACTTTTTTTTTCCATAAGTGTTTATTTCTTAAATAGGTTGAAATGTTCGCCTGATAAAAGTATTCAGTAGAGTTAAAATGTATTGATCAGGTTCAATCTGACGCATAAAATATGCAGGCGACTTCGGGAGGCAAATATTTATATTACATCCAAATAATGTGTCGGCAGCTTGAATTTCAAAGGATGTAGCCCACATACTTCCAAGTAACATGCCCTGTACGGCCTGTATATACCTATCAAAAGTCATGGTATTATATCATGGGTCATCACAACTCCATCTTCCCATAAAATCCAATTTGGACAATACGGGAGCATACAATATAACCAAAATGAATCACTCAGACTCAAGTCTCCATTTATGAATATTAAACTTAGAGTGAAAAAACCAAAACAGTTTCCATCTCTTGGGTAGATATGTGTCATAATCAATGACAAGATTTGTTGATAGTTTGCCTAAGCAAGTACAGAATTAGAAGATTGTGAATTTGAATATATTTTTTTTTGTTTTGTTAAGTTTTGAAAGCTTCGGCTGTGAAGTTGGAGACTGCTACTGAATAGAAATGTTATTGGGAATATTTCTCCTGAATTTGTCTGTGAGCTACAGGAATAACCGTGATCACATACAACAGTTTAACCAACGTAATCATCACTGTTATTTGATATGGGGAACAATTTAGCAGACGATTAAACATGGCGTAAGATTTTGTTGTCCAAACTTCGGTTATTTCCGTGGTACAATAAAATTTAAATAAACTACACAAGTTACCAAAATTTGTTAATTCTTGTTTGTGTAAACAAATAAAAATTCATATCGTTTTTAACAGCGAATTTGTTCCGTTCTGTCCCGTTTTTTCAAGATCGCGATTAAACGAGAATCTGGTAGCCATTACAAATATAAGGGTTAAACTAATGTCCTGACAATGTCCTGACGGATATTCCAATGCTAATTTCGTTTTCATCATTGGAAGAATTTACTTTATATTGGAACCAAGCAAAAATACAAGATTTTTTTGATAAATATAATAAAAAATATTAAAAAAAATATTTTTAAGAGTTAGAAAACTTGACCTGATCAACTTGAAAAATAAAAAAAAAATAATCGTACGAGATTTAACGAGATTGACGAAACTTTTAGATTGATCATGTAGAGAGAGTTATCGTTCTTTATTCCAATTCGATGCTTCTACCATAAGTGCCAGCTAAAGCTGGCATATTATTTGAGTAGTCCGAATGTGGCTACCTGTTGCAAGTCTTAATTTCTGTCCTTATTCAATATATCCTCATTTTCCAGTGGTATTACAAGTTTCACGTCCAACCTCACTGTCGACCTATTGCACGACCTACCTATTGTATTTAAAATTTATGTGTTAAAGTCATGAACATGCATGAAATATTTGCCACTGGACGTAAAGCAAACAACAATCAATCGACTTCATAAATTGGTCCATGTACTAGTACTTAGCACACAAAGACAAGATCTTTTAAAATGCTATAATGTAAAATTTCAATTTAAACTTTTATGGTTTTTTTTGTGGTTTTTTTCTTCAATTTATTCCATAACTGACTGCTTATAAAAAAGTTTTGAATATTTTTTTTTTCTATGATTCTTGTCTTCTGTTTTAATACGATTTATAATTTGGGGAGATATATAATATTTATAGATATGTTAATTTTTTAACGTAATGATTCCAATTTGTGTCTCTGTGTTTCATCTCATAGAGACATCACTTGGTAATGTAACCAGTATAGGAAATCATGGTAGCGCCTAAATTTGAATTCTTAGGAGGTTCAAAAATGAAGGTAAGAGTAGTATAGAATTTTAGTATAAGTTGAAACTCTTCGAAGTTCAGGGCATATAAATGTTGAAAATATGCCGCACAGCCCTATATTTTGACCTTTGAATAAAACAGTAGTGCATATAAACTTTCTGTTCTGGGATATAATTTTTCACAAAACTTCAAAGTAAAAGTGTCACAGTTTTAGTCGCAAAGGGAGTTCCTATGGGGAATTGCATTGTCTATATTTACAGAATTGCAACCTATAGAACTGAAACGAAAAATTTAGCAGTTTGTATGTTTATAAAGGGGTATATAAACTCAAGAACGGTAAAAGTGATGCACACCCAAGTTAGGTAGGGGCATAACAATTCAGCATTTTTCAATTTGTAAACAGGCATAACTCTAGAACGGTGAAAATGACACTTCCAAAATTTAACTTGATCTGTTATAATAAGCATTGTGTGTTTCATAACATTTGGTTGAGGCAAACTAAAGTAAGAGAACATAAATCAACTTTGGGACGTACAGACGTACGTACGGACGGACATGTACAGACGGACAAGGGTCAAATTAATGCCCCCTCCGCTACGGCGGGTGCATACAAATCATGTTTATTTACATTTTTATTTGTCTGAAATTTGGAAGAGCAATCTGCCTTTTGTAGTTTTGTAAACCAGGTGTTTTTTAAAACCTTGATTTTTCTTGAAAACTGATCACAATATTGGACTATTTTGACAGACAGTTTTATTTTTCCAATATTTGTCATAATAATTGATTATATTAGATCACTTTACTGACGTTGCATGTGATTTCTAGATACGATTTCCTTCACGATCCAATTGCAGTACTTAGCCATCGTTACTTATTCTTTCACGCTCATTTTTCTCGATATACTGAGTATATATGTTGTTGTTTTATTTCGTAAATTGTGATTTGTAGCTGTGACATAAAATCTGTTTGGACTTGATTGAAAACATGTTCTCGACGATAATAACTATAAAAGAGTATATTCAAAACGTTAAACAATATACATTCAAACAAACAAAATAGACAGGCAAATTTATATTACAAAGTGTAAATATTAGAGTTCCATCCAATTGAACACGCCCTATATGTCTATAACTAATCAAGGCTGTTGAAATTTGCGCAAGTAAGTGCAAATGATATTTTGATTTCAAATTCAATATAAGAACAGAATTCCAATGTCCCCCGCTTTGCACATATTCTATCTATCCAAGGTACAAGGGCATATATATCTAAGAGAAATGAATGCATCAGAGCAAATTAATTGTCATTTCTGATATAATTAATATTTCCAAGGGCCATAACTCGTCAAATTTATTAGATCAGCACTTATTTTCGAAAGTGTCAATAACATTGCCAATATAAACCTACGACATAAGTTTCATAAAAATCTGGCAGGTACTGTTCAAGTATTGTGCGCTAACGATGCAATATTATTCCATATAATTAATGTTTCCAAGGGACATTACTCTTTTAGAAATAGTTCATTGGTACTGATTTTTGAACTCGTTCAAAACATTGCTGATGTAAACCTATGATATAAGTTTTTATAGAAATCTGCCATGAATTGTACATGTACATGTATGAGCGCTAACAAGACTGGGCGGGCGGATGCAGAGACGGACGGACGGACAGACGCCCGGTATTTCTAAAAAAAGAATGATCGGTCAATGCATTATACACAAAACTACTAATGACAGCTCTGTCTATTATTTTTTGTTATGTTAATCTTTTTATCTCCTTTAGATATAAGTTCATGTGAAGTAAATTACTTTTTTTTACAAAAGTTATTATTTGAATTCTAAATAATGAAGAACTATTACATAAAGTTATTATCAAAACTTTTCAGAAAGGAGTCGTGCTTAAATATTCTCCACCATTTCTGCCCTGTGGTGGTTAATCGATTCAAGACTGTGCTAGCCACGTATTTATCATATCTGCCCTTTAGCATGATGACGTCCCTGTCCTCAACAAGTTCACCACACGTCTTTCCCTCAACCTCGATCGTTAAAATTTCGTTTAGACATCTGCCATAAAATGGTTCATACATAAAGGATGTCCCCGGACATTGACGTGTGTTGAAGAACCAATACGTTGACCGGTATGGTCTAGCCGAGTCTAAACTTAACCAATAATGTTCATCGCCCCAAGAACTATAATGTATGGCAACTTTATCACAAGCCTGGATGTTATCATATATTTCTCCGTAGATCCAGAAAACTTCTCCCCGACAATGATATTTATATTGGTATTGTTCTCCAGCTACAAAAGGATTATCGATTTCAGGACAATTTCGTATGGTGCATTCAGTTCCCGACCCCCAACAACTCATCCAAGATCTCCAATACCGTTTATTATACATGATATATCCTAATTCATGACCAAGATATTTGAATGACACTGTATCTGAGCTTCGGATAAACCTACTATGTCCAGAAAAACCTGCCAGTTGTTTCCATGCATCTAAAGGGAATTGTTCATTCCATGAATTTACAACTTCCTTGTATTTCAATCTACTGTTGAGCTTTGATTCAATGATAGTAGCAGATTTGTGAATAGCCCACATGACATACCTATAGTGATTCTTCAGAGCAGTTTTTATTTTATCCTGAAGTAAATTTTTTAAATGTATTTCTGTATTTGTCCCTGCAAATATCAATAGTTCTGCCACCCATAAACCAATTTGTATGGTTACAAACTCTCTATAATATTCTAGGCTCGATGTTGGATCATTTTGAATATGGAACTGGTGCCCGTCATTACCAACATCTGTAGCTAATGAAACTATTTTTATTTTGAAATATTCCCAAGATGTTGAATTTACACGGCTTTTGTATAACTGTAATAACGAAGATTGTTTTTGCAAGTTTATTCCATTTGTTAAGACAGAATCTTTCCACTGCTCTATCTTGTTACCTTGCACTTGTAAAACGCTAAATGCATTTTTAATTTGTTCACCGTAGTCTCTTAGTTTCATTTTCATTTCAGCGGTTGCCTGCTTATTCATTTCATTTCTAATATCCGCAATAACGTCTGCTCTAATTGATTGATAGGAACCTGATGTAGGCCAAATTAAGTCTAAGAGAGTTCCGACAACAAATAGTGAAACTATCTTAAACAAAGGATTTGAAATTGACAGCGCAATACTGATTCCTGTAAGTACCACCGATGATGTAAAATCCGCTGTTTTTCGTCCCATTTTATTTGCATTGGTGTCTCTTGTACACCTTTTTAGGACGGTGCTTTTGAAATCAATTTTCTTACATTCCACAAGAGCAAAATGAAGCACTATACATATGATGATACAAAACCAGAACCGCTTGGATGGAGCCATCTGAAAATAAATTTTTAAAAGTAAATATATACAAATTCTAATAAATTTCTATATTCTACACTAATGATTAGGCAAATTTTAACAATAAAGGCAACAAAAAGGATAGTTGTGTAATGATTGCTAATGAGACAACTCTCAACCAAAGACTTCAAGTCGTGGATGTAAGCAACTAACAAAAATTATCTTTCTTTTTTTTCAAGGGGAATAATTCCTTATAAGGGTTGATAACAAAATAATTGTTTATATAAAAAAGAAGATGTGGTATGATTGCCAATGAGACAACTCTCCATAAGAGACCAAATGACACAGAATTTAACAACTATAGGTCACCGTACGGCTTTCAACAATGAGCAAAGCACATACCGCATAGTCAGCTATAAAAGGCCCCGAAATGACAATTGTAAAATAATTCCGCGTTTCGTGTACATAAGACTCATCAGTGACGTTCAGATCAAAATAGTTATAAAGCCAAACAAGTACAAAGTTGAAGAGCATTGAGGACCCAAAATTCCAAAAAAGTTAAGCCAAATACGGCTAAGGTAATCTATGTCTGGGATAAGAAAATCCTTAGTTTTTCGAAAAATTCAAAGTTTTGTTAACAGGAAATTTATAAAAATGACAATATAATTGATATTCATGTAAATACCGAAGTGCTGACTACTGGGCTGGTGATACCCTCGGGGACGAAACGTCAACCAGCAGTGGCATCGACCCAGTGGTGTAAAAAGTTATCAAAGGTACCAGGATTATAATTTAATACGCCAGACGCGCGTTTCGTGTACATAAGACTCATCAGTGACGTTCAGATTAAAATAGTTATAAAGCCAAACAAGTACAAAGTTGAAAAGCATTGATGACCCAAAATTCAAAAAAGTTGTGCCAAATACGGCTAAGGTAATCTATGCCTGGAAAGACCTTAAAAACAATAAGGTCATTCCTCGCGTAGAGGAAAGTCCTTAAAAATCTATTTTGAAAACACAAATCCCCTGCAAATGTGGGATTTTGTTGTTCACTTGCCTAATAACATAAGCATTGTATGATTGGGTATCATTTGTTTATTGCGAAAATAACTCAGTTTGTCTCTCGAAAAGTCCAGAACACAATTCAACTGTTTGTTTGAGTTCGTTCCCTTGATGTCTCCATAAAGTAAAAAAAAAAAAAAAAACCTGACTGTCTGTAACCGTCTTATTGCGTGTTCAACATACACTAGACACTGTTTAACAAATTCTTGTATTTATTTGTTTCCCTTGGCGTTTACCGTCTTAATTGATGTCTCTTATATGGTGCAATTGAATTCCAGCTGTGACCTTGACCATTGACTTTGAAAATTAATAGGATTCTAGATATTCATAAGGATTAAGTATGTACCACGTTTGGTCAAAATCCTGGAACGATGTTGAATAAAGAGTGTAAACAAACGGAAAGACGGACGGGAGGACGGACAGAGGGTATAGTTATAAGATCCCATCGAAATTTGTTGGCGAGAGGATAAAAAACATTGGAATCGGAAATGTAGACACATGCTATTTTACACGATGGCAATGGGGCTCAAAGTGTCGATTGAATTACTTTGATAAAAGCCCCTTATAGGGTATAAGATTATAGCTACGGGAAACATTGTCAACTGAAGCTATTAGTAAGTTTGTTTTTATCTTTCAATGTCTTGCAAACTCTTTATTTCTAAAATCAAAATCGTTAGAAAAGTTACCATCTTTTCAAAGATGTTTGATTATGATATATAGAAACAAAAATCGTGGACATCGTGGACACTTTTCTAGTCTTATAACAGTTGAACAGGGGGGGGGGGGGGGGGGGGGGGGGGGAAGTTACCATCTTTTCAAAGATGTTTGATTATGATATAAAGAAACAAAAATCGTGGACATCGTGGACACTTTTCTAGTCTTATAACAGTTGAACAGGGGGGGGGGGGGGTTGGATATTTTGTGTTTCTATTATTTGTTTTCTGACATTTCTTTTATTTGCTGTGTTTACTACCAGTGTGCGCATTCAAATTAAAACTAACGACAATCACTGAATAAGAGACTCATAGAGTGTGACAATTCATACAGAATATTGCGGGGTTTATCATGTTTGTGAACGCTTTTAAAACCCTCCTCTTAACCTTCGACAGTGGTGTAAGTAGTACAAGTACAAAATAGGTACATACTGTAAAAATTGGTTGAAAATGGCATGACGCATTGTATTGGAAGGAAGCAAAAAAAAACCTAACAAGACAAATGACACAAAGTACCAATATTAGAGTACTCACAGTTACTGAAAGCTAGCTCAAAGTAAATAACAAGGGCTTCCGTATGTATAAATGGACATTGAATTATTTATTAGTTGTTGATGACTTTGAGCTAGCTTTCAGAAAATGCGAGTTTTATTATCTAATAAAAAAGTGATTCAATTGTCATAGTTATTCAGTTCAGGATTATCAATCTAAGATAACGGATTATCAATCCGAGATCACGGAATATCAATCCCAGATGACAGATTAGCAATTTGAGAACACGGATTGTCAATTCGAGATCACGGGTTGATTTTATACTTTTTTGTGCGTCCCTTTATACGTTTTACAAGACGTTAAAACAAGATAAATTATTCACAAGACTAATATTAATTTATCTAAAACTGTATTTATTAAACCTTTCTGGTTCTTAAAAAACAAATTTGATCTTCTCCTGCGTACTTTAATAAATACAATTGTTTAAGATTAATCTCAGCGGTATCAAACACGCCAATACAGGTAACAAAAATATTTAGTATTTGTACTTATTGAGATGGTCCCCGCATCATATTGTATTCATCTTCCATCCAACACGAGCGCCAGCAGTAGTGTCGACTTTTCTAACGCGTGTAATATTATAATGTAATACGTAATCAAGATATTCGAAATAATAACTTAATAGAGGAAGCATGTTGTCAAATATAGTATTGTAATAAATATTAATAATTTTTAAATTTTTTCAATTCTTCATGTTTGTATTGTCTTCTGTCTATCGTTTTGTTATTTTTAAGTTGTTGTTGTTTTTTTTTTTATTTAATAGCAATCCTATTGTTTGGATTTTAGACTAATAAAATTCTTAATTTTGGTTTTAAACTCTTTCACTTTAAAAGTTTGGTTTGAGTTTGTTGTCTGTGGTATTAATAGATTGAGGTCAAACATATCTTGAATATGATAGCCAATGACCAAATTACATCAACTAGTTTGATTGATTTTCCCAAAAAGAGTTAGTTAGGGATAATCAAAAACAGCATAGAATTTTGAACTATTTTCAAACTGGCTTCACAAACAAATAATTAAGATTAATTTCATGAAATTTCATCACATATGCATTTCGACATTGGCCAGAAAACTAACTTAAATCTAAAAAAAAGAGCACCTCAGAATGAAAATTCAGAGGGTGACTCTTATTTAGAATGTTGTCATGTTATCTGTCGGGCTAAAGAGAGGGAGCGGAGATGGACAAAGGATTATTTTGCAAGAATATTTTGCCCCACATTAAACAGGAGTTAAATTGACAATCAATGTCAGTTTCCATATCTTATAGAGTGTTTCCCTCAGTTTTAGTTTGTTACCCGTATTTGTTTTTGCTTAATCGAAAAATAGCTACTGAACTATTTATAAAACAATAATAAGGTACAACCATGGATTTCTATATAACAATTCTCCGATCTTTTGTATCAAACAGGCATTTGGGTTCACGATTGTATTTCTTTAAAAAAAAAAAGCAACTTTTTCAACGTCATTGGAGCACTAATAAAGGACGAAATCGTTTCTAAAATCTAATTGTACTGCTCTCAATATATTTGTGTGTGACTACCTTAACATGCGGTGGTAAAGAAAGAGAGAGACTGAAGGCATGCTAATGAAATATGATGTATACAGAAGATATAGATGGTTATACTAACTACAAACATTATCCCGGAGCACCCCTGTCATTCCGGTATGATATGTACTTAACTACGTTTCCAACAACCATATACAAATAAAGTATATAACATCCCCGCCCCGAAAGAAAAAGAAATTCATAAAATTTCGAGATGGTTGTTGGTAAACGTAGGTCAGACAATATAAAACTAAAATAAAACAACAAACTTATAGTCGACCATAATCAAAATGATAATTAAAAAAAATATATAAGTTTCTCACTTAACTTTAAGGTATCAAATCTCTGACGCCGACTACCACACAAATCTCTTACAATGTAATATTTTCTCATCACAGTTCTGGTCTTGCGCATGAAACATTCGAATGAATCATAATTTCAATTATGCAATTGAGGAATCATAGTCTATTTGATGAGTCTAGCCAAGACCTGAAACTCCTAATATTTCAGATAATAATCATAAATAATATCAACTTGTACACACAGATTCGGTATTCACTAGCACTCTCACTTACATAAAAATACGAAACATACACTGGTTTTATATCTAGAACATGCCATTCAACCTCATTTGACACAAAGTCTACTCACGAAACGACCAATAACAACTAGTAATAATAACACAATGATAAGAGAAAGGTGGCAGTCACACTCAGTACATTCAAAAATCATAAATCTCAATATACAATAACAAACAAGTCTTTTCACGTTAAACAAGTCTCAATTATGTCTACTGTTATCAACGATAACTGGTCCCTGGTACTAGACGAATATAGTAGCGATGCAATCATCACTGATTAACACAAAGGGAAAACGGTACTATTACATTTTCCCAGCATTAGGTTGGTCTTTTGTTTACCCAAGGCAGGTGAAGGAAGTCAACTTAGGAGCGCTGTGATTGGATGTTAGGGTACAATATATTTTTTTATTTATCTATGAATAACTGCAGTGTGTATATTTACAATATAAATTTTGAAACCTATTGAAATATTTTCTAGAGAATTATTCGAAAAGACTTCAAAAATTTCATAAATTTGGTGTAAAATGACGGTGGGCATGGATAACATTAACAAGCTCCATTGGAAGTTGGTCATGATACTATTTGGC